TTGGAAAGGAGCAGACCTAATTCCCATTAATCCCACACTTATATCAGATGGAGGAAGACTCCATCCTGTTGTTTTAATTTTCTTTCATTTTTCAAATTATGGTCATGCTTGTGTGTGTGTGTATTTGTTTGTGAGTATAACTTCAAATTATTTCTATGAAAAGTATATATTCTTGGGTGAGTATTTTTGTGAAGATCTTTTGAGAGTGAAAGAGTATTTTATGGATTTATTAATCTGGTGTTGGGGTCATATTAAAGTTAGGATTGAGATTAGGCATATATTTGGTTTAAGTCAAAGTCAACTTTATTGTCAAATATGCCATATACAGGGCATATGACACAATGAAAATGCAGCCCTCTCGGACCCACGGTGCAAAATGACAAGAATATACTGTATTTTTTGGACCATAAGGCGCACCGCATTATAAGGCGCAATATCAATGAACAGGTATAATTTCATACATATGGCTCACCGGGTTACAAGGCGAAACAATCAAGCACGTATGGATCCCTCTCGTCATTATCTGAGTCAGACTCGGTGCTGTTAATTAGTTGTTAAGTGATGATGATGATTCTGGCCTTCGTGAAACATTTGAGACTGATATCTTAGCCCAGGCATCTACGATCCAATGGCAGATAGTGGCATAACTCACCCAGCATTGCCTCTCTTAGTGAATGTGTATTCATCCAACGGTCCCTTGCAGCTCGCAATTTAACTTTGAATGATGGCAAGCCCCGAATTAATTTGCTTCACTTGGGTTTTGACAATATCGGTGAGATGTACGCGCATGGAGTCGCAGATCAATAGGGATGGAGATTTGTGGAAAAGGTAGTGAACTAAGTTGGACACTGGAGGATGCTGTTGTTGTTCGGCCCTCCAGAGTCAGGCAGTTGTCACTATTTTTGTTCTGGATGGTCACCATATTGTTGTTTTGATGCTGTTCCGTGCGGAAGTGCAGATGTTGTTTTGCAGAGAGAGTTTGTGTTTTGCCTGTATCGATTAAAAAAGGAGAAATAAAAAGGGTTGTTGAACACGAAAAAATTGAGAGCCATGCGTTTGAGTCATCCTGCATTGCACCATACATCGACAATACAAAAACACAACTGAGAGTCTCTGGGTGTTCAGAGGCACGACATGGCGTTGCACGGATTTGGGTTTCAAAACCATAGTTTAATAATTGTTGTTCAGCATCTTCGTATTGTGATAACAGAGTTAAACGTCATTGTTGGCTCCCAGTGTGCTTTAGTTGTGTGCCATCATGTGTGATGCGCTGTGTGGTTTGGAAAATACGATAATGTCTCTTGGCCTCTCTGATGCCTTGTGACAGGTTGGCCCTGGCTGTTCTCAGGCTCACCACATCCCCGCTCGAAAGGCAGAATTCCTAGGCTTCAGGAGCCTGTGGACCTTCCCTGTCAGCCATGGCTTCTGATTGGCCCGAATGGAGATGGATCTGGTCACTGTAATGTTGTCGATTCACTTGTGTATGTAGGTGGTTACAGTCTCTGTATACTCCTGGAGGTCAGTGATGTTATTGTATGTGGCTGCCTGTCTGAACATACTCCAGTCTGTGGTGGAGAAACAGTCCTAGAGTGCCTCTGATGACCCCTCAGGCCACACCCGTACCTGTCGCTTTACTCGTGTGGTTTTGACCAGTGGTCTGTATGCCAGTATTAGCATGACAGTGGTGTGGTCTGAAGCACCTAGGTGCTGCAGAGATAAAGCTTTGTAAGCACCTTTCTGTGGAGTGTATACATTGTCAAGAATATTGTTACCTCGTGTACGAAAGTTGATATGTCCGTTGAGTTTTGGATGGTTGGATGGTTGAAGTCACCAGCCAGGATGAAGAAGGCATTTGGATGGGCTGTCTGCTGTTCACTGATGTGGTGGTAGAGTCCATTCAGTGCCTCACTCCTGTTGTTGTTGGAGCCAGGGGGAATGTATATGGCTACAAGCAGTATAGCACTAAATTGACCAGGCAGGTAGAAGAATCTTAAGAATCATGAACTCCACAAATGGAGAGCAGTATTTGCGGACCACAACGGCATCACAACACCAGTTATTGCTGATGTAAACACAGAGACCCCGCTGCAAGCCTTAACTCCCTAGTCTAGCACCCTGTCCGCACAGTAACACGTTAGCTGATCGAGATGAATGGCACAGTCCGGGACATTGTTGTTGAGCAATGTTTCCACAAAAACAAGGACACAGCAGTCACCCACAGTTCTCGTCGTTGAGCGGAGTGAACGGATATAATCCATCTTGTTGTCAAGGGAGCGTACGTTCACCAGCGTAATCCACTGCAGGTGGGATACGAGAGTGGGGGTTGGTGGTCGTGAAGGTCTCCAGGTCAAACCGTACTCTTGTATAACTTTGACGTCCACTGGATTTATATCTATTAATATATTCTCGCCGATGTCAATCAGGAACTCTAGGGAGTATATCTGGCTTTGTATAGACAGACAAAACAAAGACGAACAAGTATACGCCGACAGACAACATAAATCACAAAAAAGCACTGTTTTGTCGTAACAGAGAGGAGCCGCTGAGTGTGCACTACCCGCCATCTTTGTGTAATTCCAGAGTCACATAGTAAGGGACAGAACAATGAATATCTATTTGATGTACACAACAACTAAACATGTATGTGTATATGAAAAATTTACCTTGCATATATTTTCTACATTTTGCTTATGTTTTTGGTTTCCCTTTTCTTCCACAGTACCCATTATAGCAAAACTGTACTAATTCCTTACTTTGATTAAACACACACACACAAAGGGTACTGTGACTGATTATTTTGGACAAAATGGTTATGGTTGAGTAGCTAAGAGACAACATCAGAAGAATCAGCAGCCTAAGATGGGTGTTTATGATGTGTGTGGTCGTGAATAAACCCCTCTTGCCCCACATCTCTCACTTTCTGTGCTGTTCATTGTCAAGTTCATTCAGACTTTTGCTGCTTTTATAACTTCGGTCATCCTGATAGAAAAAAAGGCTTTTGAAAGACACTTACAAAAGACACTTACAAAACACCACAAGCAGCTCGTCAAGTTCCATAGCTTGATAGCTACTGACACTGTTTATACCCCAGGCCAGCTACTTTATCAACATCAGCAGTTCAGTGCTGGAGCGTGTGTAGATGGACACCTACAAGCATTCTAGGGTCAGAGTCTGTGGAAAAGAGATAAAAAAAGAAGACAAAGGGCATGTTTGCAGATAGAGAAGTGTTGAGGGAAAATGATTTAAACTGAACACCATTTTTAATGAATAGGTCAAGGGTTATGGATCCAGTTTAAATTAAGATTAATTAATGTACCGTATTTTCTGGACTATAAGTCACACTGGCTGGGTTTGCGACTTAGGTACGCCTTATATAATAAAATATATAATTTCACGTCTGTTATTCTCACACTGACAGCTGCTAGTGGGCACGCTAGCCTTGTGTAGCAGTATTTTCTACACCTTTTTCTACATTTTACAACGTGTAGACATTTGCGAATCCCTTCAATAATATATTATTTGATAATGCCATGACATAGTGAAACATGGGTTGTGATGTTACCACTGTGCTAGCATAGATGAGTGAAATAGGCACTTATGTACAGTTTAAGAGCTTCGTCTTACAATGAAAAGTGAGTTACATCACATGTAAAAAAAGACACACAAATGCCTATCTTGTTGAAATTCCTTAAAAAGTGCTTGAATTTTATGATGAAAAAATGTAAGAACCTTGAAAATCAGTTCCTGTTCTTGGTTAATCTGGGATCTGTCTCAGGAATCTGAGGATGAAAAGAAGTAGCTTGGTAATGCCTTACAGGTCATTTTGAATTCTTGAGGAACATTTTGAGCTAGCAATTTTTAAGGAATGGTATGAAGTTGATGAGAGGTGGGGGTTGTGACAGGTCTCCAGAGTGAAAAAAAAACTGATAAAAGAGAAAGTAAAGTTGATGGAAAGTATATTTAGTTAACGAGGCTTCTTCAGTTCTAACTGGTGGTGGGGAGTACAGCAAATATATATTCTGGGTGTGAAAGAATAAAGCTACTTCAGCCTGTTGGGTGGGGCATTAAGAGGCTTATGGGTCGTTGGGGTCCTCATCAAAAAGGTTTCGGTCACCTGCTTCTTTGTTATGTGAAACTGAGGTGAATCTTTTGGGTATTGTTCCTAAAAGTGCTTTGTATGTGGGTGATAGGTTGTGTCTGAGTCCACCTGCTCTGTTGAGTGATGTTTTTTCCAGGTTGACAAAAATGGCTTATTTTACCCCTCTCTCAAACCATCTGTCTTCCCTGGCCAAAATGTGCACATTGTTGTCCTCAAAGGAGTGTGTTATGAACAACTGAGTCCTGTCCCGAGGAGTTGGCTCTCCTGTGTTGGGCCATGCACAGGTCCGTACAGGTCCGTACACTCCTCACTGCACTGAACGGTATAAAACACACCATCCAGCTGGTTTCTTGGAGTATTGTCTTTGGGATGAACCAGTTTTTGTCTTAGGATATTGCTGGGTTTAACGTGTACAGGGATCTGGTGTTGGTTTAAGATCTTTCCATTTTTTCCGAAACTCCTGAAATGTATGGAATGACAACATTCCCACTCTTGGTGTCCTCCCTCTTTGTGGGTCTCTTTTTGTTACTAACAAAAAGAGGCCGTGACATTGCATGGCAGTCGGAAACAGTGCTCTGGACTGGCAGACTGGGGTGGTGGTCTGTCTTTTTAAAAAGGGCCAACTACCGGGGAATAACCCTCCTCAGCCTGCCGGGGAAAGTCTATTCCAGGGTACTGGAGAGGAGAATTTGGCCAATAACTCGGATCCAAGAGGAACAATGCGGTTTTTGTGGTACACTGGACCAGCTCTATACCCTCCACAGGGTGCTCGAAGGTTCATGTGAGTTTGCCCAACTAGTCCACATGTTTTTTTGTGGACTTGGAGAAGGCTCCAAGTCCGGATCCATAACTTTATCATGCGATGCTAAATGTGCCTACCTCGGAGGACAGAGCTGTTGCTGTCCAAACTTCCACATCAAACCCGTGAAAGCATGTGCTGGTAAGTATCTCTGCTATTGACTGTGTGTCTCAAACGTTATGTTTATTCCTTGGTTAAAACCTTCCTCTGTTCAGCAAAATGTGCCTTTTTATGCAGATCTGGGCTGGGGTAATCAGTGTGCTCCTCTGAGCTTTCATCAAGATGATATATAAAAGGTTGAATGGCCAGGTGAGCAAATCGGTATGCAGCTGTAGCAAACACGTTGGAGATGTTGGGGTTGACGTTTTTTATCATAGCCAGGATAAGTGGACAGGTGTCTTTAACACCGTTGTCTTGGACCAACAATTTGTGGCAAATAGTCTCTAAAGATGATGACCTCAAGAAAGCAGAAGATAATGTGTTAAGGGCAGAATAAAGTGCAAACTAGTCACTAGTCACATCTTTTCTTACCTGAAAGTATCCTCCCAGTTCCAGTGAGGGTTCAGTGTAGACAGGCCTCGACGGTTGTATTCGTGCATCATCACTATGTGTAGAACTGACAGGGCAATATTTTCATTGGAGTGCGACTCACCTGCGGAGAAACAGAATGCAGCTGTTATTTAAACCTATTTTACATTGAACAACAGAGCACCTCCTCAGCACTGGTGTCCCCGGTGAAACGTCTCTGTGTGGCACATACGTTGCTAGCCATCTTACTAAAAGGGAGCAGCTCATGGCCATTGTCAGTGAAATCCATGTTAACCCTTAAAAGGCCTTAATCTGTGTTGAGGTCATGAAGGGAGCGTGTTGTGTTATCATTTGAGCCATTAACTTGCTTGGCATCGATGAAAGCTGTGATGGAGTTCATCTGCTGACGGACAGTGCGGGGACCAAAAGCCTGTGTTGCCAGAACCACAGGAGGGCTGCACACACAGTAGTGCTTGAATGAATAATCTGAATTTTATATTTGCACTGAGGAAACGGCAGTACATCAATGTCTCACATCACAGATGTACAGTACCATACTTAAAGCTACACTGAGCTAGTGGTTGGCACGATAGTCAGGAGAAACCACATTAGTCAGCAGCCACAACACAGCTGGGAGGTGCGGTGCCTCCAGCTCATTACACTGTGCTCTCCTGTATACCATTAGTGGTCGCATTTTGGTCATGATTACCGTGTATAAAGAGTTGCAGGTATCTGTGTACAACATCACTGTAACTCATTCATTCATTATCCTGTGAGCAGTCAAACAGATGCCGCTTAGCCTTTACTCTTAAACAAAGGCCACTTTCATTTTAACCCAAAACACAATTAAACACCAGCTACACAACCTTCACTAACCCCTTGTGCTAAAACACTGCTTGTTAAAGGGTTAAAAAATGTTGTTACATAAGTTACAATTTGATAATTCAGTGGTTTGAGAGAAAAAAAAATCAGTTTTTATATTATAATATTACTTTAAACCTTCAGTTACAAGGAAGTGATTAGAATCCATATTTAAAGATGGATATTTTGACATGAAATCAATTAGACACTAGGTCTGAATCTTTTCTTTAATAACCACTAATATTCTTGTTTTAACAATATACCATTGTATATATATATATATATATATATACTGTATATAATAGTTAGCTCTAAACCTGAATCTCTAATGTTTTAATACATTCTGCTCTACTTGGTCTTATGTGCAAATTGGTGTCCAAATTTAAATATTATATTGAGTATACCAACACATTCCATTTTTTTATGATATTTTATTTAAACAATTTAAACAAATGAAAAAATCTGTATTTGCTTTTTTAGGCAAAGTACCAACTCAGTTAAGTACCTAGTGTTTGAATCTCTCTAATGTTATAGACATTTTATTTCCTATTATTCATTTTGTTGGACACACGACTTTACTGTCCTGTCTTCTTTTTCTTTTGGCTTTGTTTTTCAGGGGTTGCCACAACAAATCATTGATTTCCATCTCTCCCTATTCTCTGTATCTTCTACTCTGACTCCAACTATCTGCATGTCCTCCCTCACTGCATCCATATATCTGCTCTTTGGCCTTCCTCTCTTTCTCCTACCTGGTAGCTCCATCTCTAACATTCTTCTACCAATGTATCCACTGTCCCTCCAAACCATCTCAATCTGGCTTCTCTAGCTTTTTCTCCTAACCGTCCTGTCTGTGTTGTCCCTCTAATGACCTCATTCCTGATCCTGTCCATTCTTGTCACTCCTAAAGAGAATCTTAGCATCTTTAACTCTGTCACCTCCAGCTCCGCCTCCTGTCTTCTGCCTATTGCTACCGTCTCTAAACCATACATCATTGCTGGTCTCACCACCGTCCTGTAAACCTTTCCCTTCACCTTAGCTGACACTCTTCTGTCACAGATCACTCCTGACACTTTTCTCCAGCTGTTCCATCCTGCCTGTACTCTATTCTTCACCTCTCTTCCACAGTCTCCTCTGTTCTGAACAGTTGACCCTAAGTACATAAACTCCTGCACCTTCACCACCTCTGCTTGTAGCCTCACTATTTCACTGTTCTCCCTTTCGTTTACACACATGTAATCTGTCTTGCTATGACTGACCTTCATTCCTCTTCTTTCTAGTGCAAAACTCCACCTCTCTAGGTTCTCTTCTAGCTTCTGCCTAGTCTCACTACAGATCACAATGTCATCTGCAAACAACATAGTCCATGGGGACTCCTGTCTGACCTCTTCTGTCAATCTATCCATCACCAAAGCAAACAAGAAGGGGCTCAGGGCCGATCCTTGATGTAGTCCCACCTCCACCTTGAAGTCTTCTGTCCTCCCAACAGCACACCTCACTACTGTTGTACTATTCTCATACATGTCCTGCACCAAACTAACAAACTTCTCTGCCACTCCTGACTTCCTCATACAAAACCACAATTGCTCCCTTGGCACTTTTATCATACCGGTATGCCTTTTCTAAATCTACAAATACACAATGTAGCTCCTTCTGACCTTCTCTGTACTTCTCCATCAGCATCCTCAAGGCAAATATTGCATCTGTGGTACTCTTCCTAGGCATGAAACCATACTGTTGTTCACAAATCTCCACTTCCTGCCTCAACCTAGCTTCAACTAC